GTGAAATTTTTTATTTAGAAGCCAATGCAAAAAAAAAAAAAATGTCAATGAAAAAAAAAAAAAAAAAAAAAACTAATTTAAGCTTACATCTTTACATAAATTTATAAGTCTAACGGAAAATAAAATGGGCAATGACTTTCCTTCATGTTAAGAAGGAAGCAGGAAGCACAAGAAAACGAGATCTGATGGTGGAGGGGTAAAGAAAAAAAAACCTGTCATATGTACTTTCACAGTAGCAGAGAGGAGAAGAAGGCAACAGACGTACGTGCAGCATGAGAACCTCACCGCGTTTCCCTGCGTGTGTGTGTCCTGGAAAGCGGCTGCCTTTCACGCACCGGGGCGCAGACCCCGCTCGCTGGGTGGTGACACCGCTGCCGAGAAACCGAGAGGCTGCAAACGACAAAAGCCGGAGCGGCGGGAAGATAATTTAGTTTTGAGTGGTTTCACGTGTGCTTCATAAACAACAAAGTTTTCCTGCGCCTCCAGCGTGTTTCCCGCTGCAAACATGGAATCCATTTGTCCCCTCCTCCTCCTCACCGCCACCACCACACACAGACCCCATCTCCACCCAGAGTCTGCTGTGGCAGCTCAGGCCTTCTGAAAGTAGACAGAAAGCAGGTGCAGACTGAGCTTTGGGTTCAGGAAATTATTTACATATATATATAGACATATCTCAACAATTATCTCAAGCAACAGTGGGATAAAAATGCCAAGAGGATCCACCTATGCTTTCTCAAATAAATAAATAAATAAATAAATAAATAAATAAATAAATAAATATTCTAAGAACGTAGGAGTTGCTACCTCATTGTTTATAAAACCTTGTTCAACATTTTTTGTTTTATTTAAAACCCTTTTCGCCATTATTTATTTACACAAGGTTAGTTAGTTAGTTAGTTAGTTAGTTAGTTAGTTAGTTAGTTAGTTAGTTAGTTAGTTAGTTAGTTAGTTAGTTAGTTAGTCAGTTTATATTTACTATGGTATTTTTATCTGTCATAAAGAAAATGCACCAATTAGTTACCTGTTTGATAGTTAGTTTTATTTTATGTGTATTTTATACATCGCGGTTAAATTTCCGATATTTTTGTCTAAGAAAAGAGGCAAAGCGTACTTAGAAGCTCTTCTTTCTTTGCTGAGACATGGAAACAAGAAGCAAAAACAACAAAAAATGAATTAAATAGCCAGCAGTTTAAGAGTTTGGTTATGTAAAGCAAAGCCACTTAAACATCAGCTAGCCGATTAGTGGTTTTATTAGCTTGAATATGGAAAAATTCAAATCTGCTGATAATAGAGGTATTTGAAATCGTTAAACCCTGCAGCTTTGGGGCCAAATTCTGTGTACATTTTTGTTGCTGTTGTTGACGTTTATTTGGAGACAATATCCCAGAAAGTGCGGCATGGTTGAAATTTCAGGTGCAAATAATAAAAATATTGAGAATAAGATGAAAGCCACGAAATTTGCATCAGCGACTTATTTTAAGAACAAAGATAACTAGGCTGATACAATAATGCTTTTTTTTTTTAAATCTTCCTTAAATCAAAGTAAATATTTACAACCTGAAACTGAATAATGGAGTTGTGTATGTTCCTATGTTTCATCGATATAAACGTGTGGCTTCGAATAATCGTCCGCAGCCTCTAATCAGCCAAAACAAAGTGTCTTGTTGAACGCAGCGCAGCGCACACAATGAGCTCAAGTTACAGCCTAAAACACCAGATTTAGCTGTTTGCGAGCTGCACAGGCCAAGCGTTACTGTGCACAGTGTGTGTGTGTGTGTGTGTGTGTGTGTGTGTGTGTGTGTGTGTGTGTGTGCAGCTGCAACAATGGAAACACAAAGTGTGCTGCAACTAAAGCCCTCCCCACGCCGTAGCGCAAGGTCACTGCTAATTGCCGCAGTCTGATCACGATTTGCGAGGATTAACTGACCCTTTGGTATTTATTTATTTATTTTTATTAAAACAATTTTTTTTTCCATAAATGCCATGCTAGATGTTGTTTCCAAATCCGTCCACAAATGTTCAGCCGCATGGGAGCACATGTGCTTCTCTCAGTAGGAGGGCCTCCAGCCATAAGGCCTCCCGCATCATCAAACTCTTAAAAAAAGAAAGAAAGAAAGAAAGAGAAGTGATTAAAAAACGCGGAACGAGAGAATGACACGTCTGCTCCAGCTCCAGCAGAGGAAAAGGGAAACACTTGTTGCCTTTTGACAACAATTGGCTCACCTTGTAAAACGTCTCAGCACATTAAAAGACGAAATTATTGGCTGTTTATCCTTTCACGTAATATTCTTAAACCATCGTTAGGCTCTTAAAGCTGTCCTGCTATCAGTAACCTTCTATTGCCAACCACAAATTAATAAAACATAATAATATATATATATATAAAATATTTGATTCTCTTCTTCTTCTTTATAAGTTATTATTATTATTATTATTATTATTATTATTATTATTATTATTATTATTATTATTATTATTATTTTGGCAAATGTTTCGACATCCTTCATACGGAGTTATTATCCGTCAGCACGTTCCGTAATGGCTTCATAAATTGTCTCCAAACTCTCGAAAATGGGGCAATAATGGGGCCTTGTTGGCCACCCGCGTTTTACTGTGCTGTAAAAATAATGGAAGTCATATTGAGCTGCGGTTTCAGATGTGCTCTGGCACACGGCTAGAAACCTGGAGGAGGTCCTGGGAAGGTTTAAAAAATATGAATTTCTTACTTTTTAAAAAATATTATTATTATTATTATTATTATTATTATTATTATTATTATTATTATTATTGTTGTTGTTGTTGTTGTTATTATTATTAAATGCGTTGATCACAGCTTAAACCTTTTTGAAAATACTTGTCTTTTTTCCCTTCCGTCGCTCTGTTGGAGTGTTGCTTTGTCTGTGCTCCTCCATATATATATATATACACACACACACACACACACACACACACACACATATGGGAATATGGAACTGAGCAGAATACACAAATTGTTGATCTGTATTAAGTTTCAGCACAAAAGAGGATAATTCATGTATTTTTATTTGGAAAAAACATTATAATTAAAACTTGAAGCTTAATTTAAAAAAATCAGCAACTGAATCACCATTTTTTTACTGTAATAATAATAATAATAATAATAATAATAATAATACATAAAAAATAATATAATATTTGATCATATCTTGCTTATTGTCTAACTTTGTCAAATGTGATTTTTGCTGCCTGTATTTTCCAGGTTTCTCTTGGAAAATGTGTGTTTAATCACACTGTGACATTTCCTGGTTAAAAAGAAAAAGAAATAAATAAAATGGTCAAATACATTTTTAAAACTGTAGTCTTTGGGAGAAAACAACCCGACTTGACCTCTGAGGGAACAGAAAAGATTTGCTCAGTGTGTCTGCCCCCGTGTGGTGCAGTGACACTTTGACTTACCCCACAAACTCAAGTTTACTGTTTGGACAGCGGTGATCCCAGGGGTGGCTGAAAGAAAAACCTGTTAAAATGTTTAAAAGCCCAGTGACACCCAAAATAAAATAAAATACAAATATATATAAATGCAAATCAATGGGTTCATGAGGCCACTGGTGTCATCATGACTGTAAAGGATTTTTTTTCTCACTCAAATTAAGCACAACTTAACTTTTCAAACACTGAGTACTTTGTCAGTTTCCAGGCACAAGTTTTTGCTCTTTCCTGCATCATGAAAGGCCAGAAATTACAACCATATGACAATTATGTTTAGTTCCTTTGCTTTTAACAATCTTTTTTAGCACAGATTTTTTATTTATTTATTTTTTTGTTGTTGTTGGTCTTTTTACGAGCCTCCTTGTAGGTTTGTGCAAGTACCAGCAGAGAGAAAGTGAATGATAAGTGTGTGTGTGTGTGTGTGTGTGTGTGTGTGTGTGTGTCTTAAACAGACGTTCTGGAGCTGATTTTGTCGATACGTCTCAGGTTTTTTGTTTTTCTTTTTACAAGCTTTTTCAACAAGAAGTCCCCCATCCTTGTGGATTTTACGACCTGTATGCATTCGCCATTTCATCTTTTCACGACAGCAGTTGTGTGGTCAAATTCAACAGGAGTCCCAGTTGTGCTGCCGCTAGAAAGACACTCCACAAATGTTTTATTGAAAAGATGTGATACACAGCATAGAATCGATTTCTTTATTATTATTATTTTTATTTTATTTTTTTAGCCTGCTATAAGAAAAAGGAACAACGTCGTCAGCGTAAGCTTTGACATCGCCCCACCGGATGCTCTGACATTTAAGCCGAATCGTGTTTGGGAGGTGAAGGGTGAATGTCTTCGTACGCAGGTGGTTTAGAACAGGTGGATCCGTCCCCTTCCTGGAGTCCTCTTTCATTTTCCGTCTTCAGTGCTCTACGGTAAAAAAAAAAAAAAAAAAAAAAAACGCAAACATCAGACAAGCTAGAAGTCGAGGGAGGAAAAACTGGCAAACATCCAAATGTTTACAGGCTCAATTGGTTATGCTTAAACCCCTGCTGCCCTTTCAAAGAAAAACACAGAGGTGGAGCGATTTCTCCCTGGACGATTTGGCATTAACTCCTGGAAACTCAGTAAAACGCAGGTCAGGAGCTGAGGGGGGGTGAGGGGAGGAGGGGGACCAGTGGCTGAGTTGGCATGCTTGTCGAAGCTGCAGTTTATAGTCGTCCCAGGTTAACTGTATTATTCCCCACTGTCTGCTTGTGTTAAAGAGATCTGCTCGCCCAGAGACCTGCTGGGAGTAATTGTCTAAAAGCAATAAAAGAAAGTGAAAACCAGGAATGCAGCTTTGTGTTTATAGCGAGAAGTCTCTCTGCGAGACTGTTTGATTGAATTTCAAATAGACGGCCCTGCAATTAGCGAAAGAAAAAGCGAGCCTCGGATTGTGCGTAAGGAACAGGTGGGGAAAAATAAAAAACGTTTAATCCCTGACTCAAAAGCTGTGCTTTTTTTTTTTTTTTCTTTTGCCAAGACATGCATTTCAGAACAAAATGGCCGTGATATAATCTTGTATTCTTAAAGACTGATTATTTGAAGAAATGTCTGCCATTTCGGGTCAGATTGTCACCCCGTGTTCCAGCGAGGCAAAGTTTATTTTCAGGAACGGCTGCAGGGAATATCGGATTATTTTTGCTACCTCTTTTAGAGGGCGACCAAATTTCAGCTGCCGAACAACAAAAAAAGGAAAGCAAAACTTACACTATGTGTGCAAAGTTAGTCAAAAATGTCATCATGCGTTTGTCGAGGAGCCCCAAACCACAGAGCCAAGCGCAAAACTGATCTGGAAGTAAATTAAACAATTTGGATTTACCAGCATGCCCACTTTAAAAGCTTGTATGCTTATTGGGTTTCTCCCATTCTTCCATTCATTAAGCCTGAATGCTCAGTGCCTCGCAAAAGTATACATGTTTTCATGTTAAAACCGCAAACTGCAGAGTACTTCATCAGGGTTTTATGTAAAAAAAAAAAAAAAGACCAAAAGTTGCATATGATTCTAAAGTGGAAGGAAAATATTATTCAATTATTTTCTTAAGCAGTAAAGTGAAAAAGTAGCACAATGGCTGTTGTTGGAGAGTTGAAAGATGATGCCGTGAGGAGGCTCTTTGTTTTTGTTTTAATCAGGGACAGACATGTGTGTCAGATTTAATTAATTTAATTTAATTTTCCTTTGGGATCAATAAAGTATTTTTTCAATTACTGAACTGAATTTGAGGACGTGCATTACTGTCACATATATTTGCAGATCCCAGCTGATCACAGTGCCCCACAGTTCTACTAGAAACAAAGGAAACATAAAATAAGAGTAAATAAGACATAAAAAAAGAAATAAGCTCCTGTAAGTTTTCAATCAAATCGGTTTATTTTATGTATACTGCCAAATTACATCAATGTGAAAAGATGTTGAGTATTATTTAAGTTCAAGAAGTACTCATCAAATGCAGAGAGAGCTATTGCATTAATATCTTAACAGGTTTTTTTATGTGTAGTTTAATTAATACGTTCTGCCACTTCGCAGACATTCATGATATTGAAATGGCCCAGAATGAAAAATGACTGACGCCTCTGTGTTTGGAGGGTGTCAAAAAGTGTGAGTGTGGGATGGGAGTTCACCCTCCAGCAGAACTAAGCTGATAGAAATATATCCTAAAAAACTCGCAACTCTTAACTGGAGTGAATAAATTATCAATGCAGTGAGGGAGCATGCCACACATTTCATATTTGTCTGATAAGATAAGTTCACAAACAAGAATTAACACTTCATTTCCACTTTGCGATCATACACTCCCTTCTGTCAGCCAAAACATAAAATACCAATCAAATAATCTGTCATTTTTATCACAAAATGTAGGAAAAGTTCAAGGGTAATGGACACTTGTGCAAGACACTGGATGCAAACTTAGGGTTTAAATAAAGTTGATCGGCTACCTGCTTCCGTGTCCTGCCTCTGCGCTGTGCGGCGTACAGGCGTTGTCCAAGCAGTACAGAGATTCGTAAGAAGGCAGAAGGTCTGCGTTGCCGCCACTCACAGAGCTACCGGGCCGAGGATCGGCTTGTGGTCGCGCTTCCTGGGTCACAAAGTCATAAGCAGGTGGGATGCACAGCATTGTCGCGGTGCCCCGTAACATCACCGGCTGATTTATTTTACGAACCACAACCGGGCGACCTCTTGAGTTTTGTTCCCGCACAGGAACAACATATATCTCTTTGTCCTGTCGCCTGCGGGGCCAGCAGGACACCGAATGAAACCTGCACACGCTGGTCAGCATGAAGGCCCCTCCGACTGAGATCAGGATGGGGCCCAGAAGTTGGGTCCACTGAAAGCCGAGGAGGGCCTGGTAGTGATGCCAGCCCATGGCCGTGAAGGTGACACCCACCATCGCCAGGAAGACTCCGGACAGCAACAGGGCAGCTCTGGTTGTCTCACCGTCCATCAAACCATCTGATAGATGTGGAGGTGAAACTGGAATGTCGGTTCCCACATGCCTCTGCCCCAACATTTTAATCCAGTAATCTCAAGAGTCCTCCTCGGTGCATCAGTTAATCCAGCTTCACATGGGGAACACCGTCTCCCACAGAGGTCGACAAAGTGAGATGAATGAACACCGAGTAACTCTGGATTTCCAGTCGAGGCGACAAGTTATAAATTAACTTTCCATTACATATTGCTGGTTAAATGAAAATAGAGTTTGCACAAATGTGGACAATGTGACTGAATAAGAGCCAGTCCTTCCTATTGGACAATGTGTGGAAACTTCCGAAACGGTGGAGGATTCAACTGTACGCTTGAACACCGACACCAAATGGACATACTGTCTGTCACTGTTTGAGCTGTTTTCAGGTTTTTAGTTATTACTAAAACTCTAGAAATTTGCAAGTACATGCAAGCAGTTTTTTTTTCTTCATCTTTTGATCTCTAACACATTTGGCCTCTAGACATTAGTGTAGCTGCAGAGGAACTTAGCAGCAAGAGAAAAGCTGAAATCGAGAAAAACAAGGGAACTGCACAAACATTCCAGATACCAGAACCGGTGTCCAGATAAAAAGCACGTCTGCTTTTATCTGGACAATTTTTTATTTTTTACTTTTTTTTGCTCTGCTGCTACTGGCAACAGATCACACTCTGACGGTCCAGAAATCAGTCTTGCATGTTAAGTAAAAGGGCTTACACACCCCTCACACTTGCAGTTCGAAGGTAAGCGATCTACATCTAACAGCTACACGTCCCAGTGGAAGAGCCGCTGGACTCGATCCAAGATGTCTGCTGAGGTTGGATGTTTTTTTTGTTTGTTTTCCGTCACCACGACCTGCAGGAAGGGAAAAGCTCACGCTGTTTCATGACAACCTTTTTTAATATACATATACATAAGCAAGCTTCCTGCACTTGAAAAACAAGAAGTCATTTTGATGACTTTAGCTCAGGGAAAGCATACTTTCTGTTGGTTTCCCCGGCTTTTATGTGCGCTACATACGTATGCGCTTGTTTATTCTGACTCCGCAGTCGTGGTCTTTGGCTGCTCAGCGTGAGGGGCAGCAGAACCGTCTGCAAACAGTCTGACATGTGTTTGTACAGTGTGGTAAAAAAAAAATATATATATATATATATTCACATATGTTCATTGAATTCTAATTCCAAATGCAAACAGTGACATGCAGACGTTGTTCAAAGACCTACATGAAAGCACATCCTCATGATGTTGCATGTAGCAACCTCCCGCTAATCAAGGAGCAAGGATAATGCTTATGGCAAAGCAAAACAAAAGGGGTCTTCGGAGGGGGGGAAACAAACTGATTATCGCGCACACAATACGAGAGAGCGATCAAATCTAACCTGTGTGCGTCCCACTGTTTACCAAAGCCCCAGCTCATTTCACTCGATGCTAATGAACAAGGGGACAGGCACAAAGGGCCCATATGAGAGCTGTGTTTAAAGAAACCTCCTGGAATTGCAGCTGTGCAGATTCTTTCAATTAGCAAACTCCAAATATTTATGGAGAGAACATTTCCTTTCTGGAAGGAAGGAAGGAAGGTTCTGTGTGTGCTTGTCTCCTGTTGACTCACTCCTGGGTCCATTGATCGCTTGAGCTCAGGGTTTGTTTAGCTTCAGGACTGCAATCCTCCTTTGAAAACGTATCTGCTTGGTACCTTCACAGTGAGCCTTTGAGAACAGAGTTTATCTATACTGTACACATCTACGGTATTCGGTAATTTGACAACACGTCAAGAAAGACGTGTTGCAAAACGCTGATGATATTGGAGAGATAACAAGGCACAAAATGTTGGAGAACCGTCGCTTCATTCAAAACCCCAGTTGTCTCAAATTATTTAGCAGATATTTTTACTTGGTCGATCAAAAGTCTCAAATCTTGTCCTCTGTACATGTGGACTTGCACCAAGGTGGTTCAGATTACAGAACCACCTTGGTGGAGGTGTGAAGAAGGACTCGAAGGGTAACACAGGGTCTTGTGTATAAATTATTGTCAGTACATCCCAACCTGAAGGCTTAAATGCACTGGTGGCATTTAAGGTGTTTATAAGGTTGTTGGTTTAGGCGAGTTTGTTAAAGATGTAAATCCACAAATCCTATAGAAATCCCGGCATCCAGTTTTCCCTTTGAAGCACCTCGACTGATTGAGCCCTTTGTTTTGGGTAAAGAAATGGTGGAAAGACAAGTTGGATTTGCTCATTTCACGATTTGAGTCGAGTATTTCTTTCTTTTACCCGCAACCAAACAAGGTGAGAAAGTAAACAACAAGGAACGTTTCGGCTTTCAACTCCTACCCAGATAAAGAAAAAAGGCGATTAGAGTAGTTTTCACAGGCTCTACACATGTATGTGTAGTCGGTTACCACAGCTAGACGTTTGTTTGCTTCTCCATCAACATCGCTCAGACATTTTCGGAACGGCAGATTCCGTTGGTATGTTAACAGCTCCAAAGGTCCACCACAGGAATTAAAATATGATCGTTTCTCAGTCATCGCCCTCCCCCAAACACACACACACACACGAACGATGACAAATAGCCTGTGACGTGCCTCTGTGAACATGGCACGGAAGGGTCCAGTACTATCCAGGGCTGCCACTGGAGTACAGGCTGCTGGCGTTTTATTGGTTTAAATTCTTCCCCAAGCGAGTCCTTTCAACAATGAAAAACCAAAAAAGAAAAACAAAATAAATCCCTTACAGTAGAACCAGTAGTGTAACAGTTTCTGCTTGCTGCTGCCAGAGAGCAGCGATGCAATTAGGCGAGCTCATTATCTTCGTCTGACCTCGGGGTTATGGTTTCACATGACTCAGCGGCTCGCTGTTGCAAACAGACAGAAGGGGTTGCTCATTTTGAAATCAGCTATTTGTGAAGCTTGATCTAATTACTTCCAGCTCCAGACATCCAGGAAATCTTTGCATGTGTGTTTGTGTAAGCTTAATTTAAAATTCAAGTTGTGTTATGATGGAAAATCCTTTTAAAAAAAAAAAAAAGACTTCATCCCAGCGAAGGCAGACCTCAGTGATTGAAAAATGTCCTCTCTCGAGAAGAAGAAGAAGAAGAAGAAGAGGAAGAAGAACTGGTGTGGGAATAAATTGCGTGGGGCCTAGATCCAAGTGTTGTTAAGTTTTACCAGAAGTTGTGGCTTTACAGCTGAAATCCATCAGACTAGATGAGTGATTTTAATATAAGTTTATTACTTTAAAAGATTTACCTGCAAACAGGACGGGATTGGAAATGTCTGCTTGAATTTTGCCGTCTATTAAAACATACAAAATCTGTTCAGAGTCAAGACCTTCTACAAAAAGGTAATTTCTTTATATTAGCTTTAATGAAACTCCTGTTAGACGTTTAGGTCCAAGAATTACAAGAGAACAATCTGCTTGATTGGCAGCAATGAAAATGCTCTGCTAGTGTCGGCCACATAGAAAAAAAAAAAAAAAAAAAAAAAAAACGTTCATAATTTAGGGTAACAGTTGAAACAAATCTGCTTACTGGGTGGAAAAATGTGAAAGATTTCCTTGGACGAAAGTTTGACACTTTCAGGGTTTGAGTTATTTTAAAGAGGTCCTCTGGGTTCTGGAATGAGCAGGACAGGAATCCATATTAACGCAATAAACTTAGTCTATTGCTTATTTGTTCAGATGGTTTTCCTCGTGGTGAGGAGGAAGATCAAATGGACACATCACTTTCAAATTGTCCGTAAATGTTACTGATGTCGGTCTTGCTCTCTGGATGGGAGAATAACTCAGTTCTATGGCTCCAGTGGGCCTTTGAACAAACACAACTGTGTGGTGAACAACAAAGACCAAATGCTTTCGTTCTCTCTGCTCAGACCATTTCACGGGGCTGATGCGAAGGCCTGGCCTCTCAATCAACACCAGACGGACCGCTCGATCAGCCGTGAAGATGCCATTTACCACGTCAACGGAAACGGTTCAGTCCAGTACCTTTGCAGAGCTGGAAGTAAAAGGTACATTAATGTGAAGGCGCAGTGAATCGACAGATTCAGTGCGCCTCGTGACACACGTAACCGGCCGGTGTGTGTTGGTCGATAACGGGAGACTGTGTCACAGATTATACACACTTGGCTTTAGGAGCATGCAGTCCGTTTGTAAAAGCCCTAAAAAAGGTGAATAATTCAAAGACTCACAGACGTGTTCTTTCCTCTGCTCTCATAAAGAGACAATGATGATTCCAAACTTAACACAATTATATGGTTTTCTTATAAGTAGTACGTAAATATGACAGTAACAAATAACAGATACAGAATAAACAGATTTTTACTGCAATAGGATTTCTGATTAACTTATTTTCCACAACCCAAAACATATGTTTGCTTGATAAATAGAGCATTAATTAATTTCAGAACATGTATGCCACACTTCTAATCTCAGGTTAGAAGCAAGGGCTGCCTGCAGCTGAAATACACTGACAACATGGGCAATCAAAGCAGAAAAAACGTAACTATTGTGGTATTTGTTCACTGTGACTGTAGGATGGAGTTCTAGGTGGACCTACTTATGGGGCCCTTTTTCCGTAGGAATCTGGGCTCCAGTCAAACTGGTTTTGGTTCATTTGTTTCAGACATGTCAGAGGAAATACATTTTCATCTCTAATTGAGTAAATAGGTAATAGTAATAGGAAGAAAAACAGTAGCCAAATATACATGCCGTTTGTATTTGACAATTTAAAATTACGCTTAAAATTAAGCAGGAAAATGTAATGAAAATTTGTGAATCCTCCACCAATCAAAATAGTCTAAGATCAGCTGTTTTCTGTTCTTTTGTAGACAGTAGAAATATGTTTTCTTCTTCTCCGTTTTGTTACCTCAATATGAACCAAAACGCCAAACTAATTCCACGCACTTATAAATTAAGTCGCACGTAATCGACTTATTTTAATTCCTCCACAGCTGAGTACTGTTCCAAAGTTACTTTGTTCAAATCTTTTCAGAAACTGGATGGTGTTTGTACATTCTGTGTGCATTTCCACACTTAAACTGTTGAAAGGTTTTGCCACACACATGGAAGTAGAACTAATTTAACCATTATGAGTGCAAATAATGGTCACGACAGGAAAGCCACTTTTAATTCTCTGTGTTTTTCATATTGCAGCATTGTGTTTTTGACAGCGCAAGTGAACAAACCAGGCTAACCTCAGCTTTATTCAGAAAATAAAACGTAACATTCCTTCATCTAAATTAGTTAGACATTTGCTTAAAAAAAAGTTTGTATTTTTAGTAACTTGTTGTCAACATTCACCGATCCTAGACGATCAAAACGATCTGGATTTCTGCTCGCACGTCTCACTTCGGTGTTCCAGAGTTTATCGCCGCAACTTGGGGGACCTCAAGATCTTTCGCTTCTCCGTCTGAGTGAGGCGGAAGAGTCAGCACCGATGGCTCGCACATGTGGCCGAGGAAAGACAGCTCAGAGGCTGGATCTCAAACAGGAAAGAGGAAGTCCTCCGTCAGGCAGGACGCAAGGAGATGACTGAGCGCGTAAATATGCACAAGGTGTTGATACAATGCTGAGTGTGCACGCACAGTCATGAACACATCTCCCTGTAAGCAAAGCTCTGCATGGGGCTCTCTCAGGCCAAACATAACTTCTGCAACACATGTGTAGCTTTGCCTTTAAGAGCTTTGCTTTCACGCTCTATCCGTCTGCAACCTGTACAGCGGCCAAGATCCAGGTCCTTGGACGTGGATTCTGGTTCTGAAAAAAAAAAAAAAAAAAAGAGACAGAGGATTTGTTGTTTTTGTCTTGTAGCTTTCCAGTGTTTTAACTTTGCAGGTTTGAATTGAGTCAAATCTTTGAGCGCTTTAGCTGCAGTTTCGGGGGCCCTTTCAGGTGCAGCTTCAAGACGTTTGTCTCCGTTAATGACGGAGCGCTGAATAGATTCAGATCGTTGTCATTGCCAAATATGGCTGTCCTGAAATGGGAAGCAAAATGGGGGATTTGTAATTGTACTGGATGAAAAACCATTCCTGAAAGCTTCGGGAAATTGTTCTCTCTGACTCACACAGCCACTTTAAAATCTCACGAATCCGACATGATAGTAGATGTTTGTGTTTGACATTGAACATATAGATGAATGGATGAAATATTAATAATAATTAGATTGTTTCAACTAAAATGTGGATCTATACTTCTATAATTTATCTTTATTTTTATCTGGCTTTAGAATAAAAGCAGTTCTTGCCTTTTTATTGGTAAATCTTTAACTCTGGACTGAACTGTACTATTAACAACTACGTACCTATAATTTTGTTCTTTTAAACAATTATTTTCTAACTTCTTTTNTTTTNATCTCAACTGTACCCAAATCAAAATCTGGATTTTTCTACATCTTATTTTTTATGCTACAGCAATAAAGGAAAAAAAAAGTAATAATAATAATAATTTTAAAAAAATCACACAGGTCACGTTTAAAGTCATCATTTTCATATATTTGTATATATTCATATATTACACATTTAATACAGGTACAATTAGAAATCATAAAACAGACAGAAATGGCAGGGATATTGATAAAAACGTGACAATCACTGACACGTTGCTCTTTGATACAAAACAATGAGAAGGAAAGGGGGCGGGGCCTGGAAGATGATCTCAGTAAAATGTGTTGTAGTTTTGGGGCGACAGCAAGAACCAGCTTGCTTTATTCTTCAATACAGTTTCAGAACGGGTGGGCTCATTAAGAAAAAGTGTTTGCCTTGCTTGGTGTGGAGCGGGAAATAAAGACTATTTAAACAAACAAGTTGAAAGCCTGAAGTTGATTTGGTTAGGATTTTTTTTTTTTTTTGTAAATTCTGGCAAAGATTGACATTGTACCAACGAAATGTGAACGCACATTTACATACAAGATTAGTGTCAGCACTTTAGTTTAATGGTGAACGCTTCAGTTTACAAAACTAGCCAAAAACACGACTCAAATTTGTGTCCAATCTGACAACGGCGCGCTACAGCTTTAAAACAATTTATCGTCGATATGCCGATAAGTCATTGGTGAACACGATGTGGACCGCAACGAGTTACGGTTTTCGGTATCAAATCCAAAGAGCCGTGATTATTCTTCATGTCTGAGATGTCAAATAGCTACATATGGCCATTTGTTAGAAAAAGGTTGTATAATAAAGCACCAAGATTTAAAACGTGGCGACTTTCTTGTTTTTTCTGCTCACAGATGAGGAGTCCGTCACAGGTTTAATGGCAGCATGGTGTCACAGCATCGACAAGTCGCGGTAAGGCATCGTTATTTTTAGCCCTGTGGTGATGCTATTAGCTAAAAACCTGACGACATGTACTCGATAGAGAACGAACAAAATTAACTTTTTGTTTTCAGCCAAAGAAGGCGGAGAAGACTCACTTATTTCCGGAAGACAGTCGAGACTAAAACGAGGCGACATTTTCCCTTCAGTATCCAAATAAAGGAGTAAATACCACACCGGGCACACTGTAAGTGCTTTTCTCATAAACTGTGCTGCGAAATACAAAACAAGTAGAAAAAGAAAACAACAACAACAAAAAAACGAATAAAGACCCGATTTAGGCACATTTTTTTTCAAGGCTGGAAAGTTAAATTTGGTTCAAGGTCCCTCGATTTTTATTTTTAAGTCTCTAACATTCGCTACAGTGTTTCACAGATGATTCGGAGACTCCCGTTTTAATAAGCATCAGCACTTAAGGGTTTATCAAAAACGTCAAGAGGATCTGTTTTACAAATTACAAAACCAGGGAGATCTGGAGATGCATGGAGGCAGTTTTCTCTTCTTTTTTTTTTGACTTCTGTTCCACAGTACAAGATCAGGCACTGAGGTTGGATTTTTGTTTTTCCTTTTTTGCATTTTCTGAGAGCACGAGAACAATTTAAGATCAAGTTTGTGCCACAAGTGTGAGAGTCCTGCTGTTGGAGACAGAATCGACCTTCATTGCTTCATTGCACATGTTTAAAAAGTGGAGAAAAGTCAGTAAAGAAGAGCCGATTTTGAGAGTCAAGAGTTATTATTTACAGTTCGGTGAGAGCTTTTCAACTCAACACAAAAAAAAAAAAAAAGATTCCATATTCCTTCTAGGCTCTTAGAAATGAGTACAAGAGGGAAAAGAGCTTCTGGAAAAGTTGTTAGTGCATGTTTTTTTTTTTTTTCCTTTTTCAAAATTTCAAATACAATATAAATTTATGGCGAATCAATAAATTGTCTCTGTACATAATTGATCGGAAAGTATTATTAGACTTCATATCTACATATTTTTCTGAAAGCTCATCTGAGTTTCATTTTTTTTAATTATTTCGTTTTTTAAACAGTGTTCTTTACTCAGTGCTGTTTTACTGTAGTGAGATTCTGGCTTCCTGCACGAAACCGTGGGCAGAAGTGCTCCGGCGAATCGGGACGCTTCGATTTTTCTTTTGATCGGAGATGAGGCGGGGCCGGTGTCACCTCAGCAGTCTGCCATGTAGCGACCTGAAGACACAAGAGATGCACTTAAACATGTGGAACAGTTAAATATGAAAGGTGGCAGGCACACGCAGAGGCGCGACAAGGATTCACACCTCTTCCACGGCAGCCTTTGAGGCCGTTTCCTGGGGAATTGTGTGTCGGACCAACGCAGAGCGGTGCGTATGGTGGTGTGAAAAAGTGCTTGCCATCTCCCTGATTCTTGTTCTTTTTTCATGTTTGTCACACTTCAACGTTCCAGAACATACTTTTAAATATTAATCAAAGACAACGAGTGAACACAGAATGCGGTAATAAACGTCTTCGTTTTAAAAAGAGCATTTTGTGTTTCTTTGTGTTGTCTTTGATATTTAGATTGGTTTGATGTTTTGAAACCATTGATGCTGTGGTGACTTCTGAAGCTAATTGCTCTGACTTTTATTTTGGGTCGTCAGAGTAAAAACGATTGAAAACAAAAGCCCGTCAGTCGTTGCAGATTTGAAAAACCGTGTATCCTTTTCCTCCCTGTTTGGACTTTTACGGTTATTAGTGTTGGTGTGTTACGTAAAACCTAAAGGCAAAGGAGGGTGATTTTTTTTTAAAAAGTGCCGTTCAACATACCCGTGGCAAATCTCTTCTTGTTGAGCGAAAGCCTGTATCCAGTCCCCTGCAGGTCCATGTCGACTCCTGACAGGGTGCTGCCCTCGTTCATGAACTGGACCGCCAAAGTGGACGGGCTCGAAGGGCCATTGGAGAGCTCAAACTTGGCCCGCAGAGAGCCGGCGCCTGAGGTCAAAAACCAATACGGTTGGCAGAGTTGGACAAACTTGAAAGAGAAAACAAATGAATCCCTCATCACCTTCGTTTTCAGACTTTTCCGAGATGTCGCTCAGCTTCCAGAGACACTTGCTCTGCTCTGAATTCCTAAAAGAGACAAAAAAAAAATTAAAACCCCGGGGGTTTTAAAAAAAATTTTTTTTTTTTTTTTTTTTTTGGCAGAGGGCCACGCCGGACTCCTGTTGGTTTGCAGTTCCTCACCATATGGAGTTGGGTAGAGACTGCATGTTGGTGACGCCCCCGTCGACGGGAACCAGGACTTGTATGTTGGTGAGCGGTCCGGGCGAGTCCATGGAGTCCGGGTTGTAGCGGTAGTCCAGCCGCAGGTCTGTTGTGCTCGGCGTACACTTCCAGTACACGGCCAGATTGAGAGGAGTCGAATGGATCCCGTCGGACAGCACCTGAACACAACCAACGGGCGTCAAACCTCAAACCTTAGAGTCTCAGCAGTCAGAGAGACAAGGGGGGCCGTGGCTAGAATAGGTCGAGGGTCAGAAATAGGCCTGTCGCAATAACTAATTTTGCTTAGGGATTAATTGTCTCAGAAATGATTCTGATAAACAATAATATTGTCATTTTGGAAACATTGCTTACTAATAGCATCAAAATGGCATAACAAAGCCTTAGTGTCCTTTTGCGTTGGCCTTTTGTCAATCAAACATTGTGGACTGTCAGTAAGACGGAAACAGCCTGTTGGTTTTTGGCAATTTATCCGTTCACCCTGACTGGATTTATTTACATCAGTGGTGAAATGGAAATGTAGCATTTTAATATTGGAATAGTATTTACTCATACTGAAAAATGTAGTGACGATACGAGCAGGGGGGCCTCCAGAAGGAGCCGTGATGGGGGTCGCTGATAATCAAGGTGTGGCACGTTGAAATGAAAAGCATTAATAAAAATGTCTATAGTTTTACTGCATAATGTCTGACTGTTTGATTGTAAGGTTTTCTGAAAATGGCATTTTCTTATGTATGCAGGGGTATCTGGTACCTGGAGGGGTATTTTAATTTCCCTTTTCTGGAGAGTGGCAGTTGAATTCCCCCCTCAGCTCCAACGCTTAAGAGCTTTTTAATGACAGAGCGGTGAAAGTAGGCGAAGAACGCCAAACCAATATATTAAAACCCTGCCTAGTCCAAGCTTTTACACATGAGAGGTGTATAGTTTTTTTTTTTTTGTTTGTAATTTGCAGATTTTCTTTTCTCCAGGGAAAAAAACAAACTTCTTTATTGTGCTACAAACAGGAATAAAATAATAATAATAAAAAAAAATCTAAAACCATTTTGAAAATCTCAGATCTAAATAATCCCTTGGGTAAAAAGGTTGAGGTGTAAGCCAGAGGCATTTAATTAAAAAGGTCTAGTCTGTTTGAAAAGCTGTATTGAGTTGGGTTTTACTCAGTTACATTGACTTTATTAAATTCTTGGGGGGGAGGGGAGACTTTTAGGAGTATTTTTACTACGCTGTACTTTCTACTCTTACTTTGAGTAATTTTATTATGGTGTATCGCTGCTTTGACTTGAGTAAAATTTCTGGATATTTGACCCTCTGTGAGCAACTTCACCAAAAGAAGAACAAACTCATTTTAACCAAAAATTCACCAGACATACCAGCAGTTTTATTTTGAAAGAAACTGTTTGGGAAAAATGTTTTTATTCTGTGATTTTGTTGTTATTTTATGAATTATTTTCATTTTGTTCTTTAAAATATCAGAATTTCCACATAACTTTTTATTTTGGTCTGACTGATGATATAATGAAATTTTTATTTTTTTTTTAATGATTTCTGGTTTTGATCAGTAATTGAGTAGCCTTTTTACCAAACACTTTTTTACCCTTTAGTTTTTTTTTTTACACTTTTACTTGAGAAAAAAATATGTTGAGGTAGCGCAACTCAAGTTGAGCACAGTTTTTTGGGGTACTCTGCCCAGCTGTCGTGAAATCAAACTTGAACCGGCAAAACATGGCAACCCCAGTGGAACCGAGTTGCCATGTTGTTTGACCTGAATGGACGTGCTAAAAACAACATAATACACTGGATCATTTTTCCAGTGGTCAGTCGTCATATTTTAATTTAGAGAAAATGTGATGACGCTCCAGTCGGATATTGTCAGAAGTTTCCTTGGTTTGGTTTTTGCAGTCCTGAGGCGACATATAGTGAAAGATGCCAACACAAAAACAAGCACTGTACTGCATCTTTAAAAATTCCTTCATTTCAACTTCACTAGCCTAACACTCAAACTTGATTTTGCCTTTGACTCCGCCCTTAGACTTAGATTTAAAAAAAAAGGCGTTTTTTTTTTTTTTTTTTTAAACAAAGTCGTTTTGTCTGGATTAAGCTCTCGGAGCGATTCTGGCAGACTGACCTGGTATTTTAAGATTTCCACATTGTAGTAGGAGGCCGACGGATTCTGCTCGGAGGCTTTTCTGAGGTAGGATGTCAGGGCTTGCATGTTGAACCAGAAGTCCTTGGAGTTGGAGTCGCTTTGGGAAGGATCGCTGGATGAAAGGCAAACAGAAAGAGGGGAGACAGACGGGGAATAATCAGAGGCTCAATTATGCGTCGCTCGCCTTGGCTTTGTGTGTAAAGCTCCAACAGCTCGGAAAATATGGCCCTGTTAAATTCGACCGGCTACTAAATCACGAATTCCAGTTGATTCAATTAGTCCAGCCGTGTGGTTCTGAGATAACTGGGAGGAAACGGAGCGAGGAGCGAGGGGAAAAAAAAGAGAGAAGAAGAAGACACAATCTAAAAAAAATGTTAAAACTTTTTTTTTTCTTTTTTTACATGGGAAGCAAAATATACCGAATTACATCTCCCTACAACTAATGAGGTGAGACATACCTCAACACGTTAAATGAATTAAGCGCTGAATGACGTAGCTGCTTTATGAAGTGCTTCCTCGCCGTTTTGGGCGTCTTTCAGAAGAGACATGGACAGTTGAGAACCCGGTCGTGAAAAACGGCTGGAAAATATTTCCCTGACAGCTTAATGATGGCTTCACGTCGGATTACTAACTGAATTTCCTCTCGCTGGTGCGTAGTGTGTTTTCTGGAGGCGCGCTCGTACGGCCGAGCCCAGATCCGTCTTTCGCTTGGCCGGCGACTCCCGTTTGTGTTGAGCTCATCGATCGGCTCGCTCGGGTTCTTGTCGCCTAGCCGGTTTGTGGCGAAGATCTTAAAACAAAAACAAAAAGAGGCCTCACCTGTATAGGAGCTGCTGGTTCGGCAGGATCTGCTCCAGCCTGCTGGTGTTTTTCAGCTTGAAGGTGAGGACGGCCGGGGAGGGGTTGGTGGTGAACACCTTGATGATGCCCATGGGGAACGACAGCGTCATGTCGCCGGTGATCTTCACGATGCACCTGCCGAGCACAGCCACCGGTTTTATACTTTTACAGCTTCCTCGTGTGGCAGAGAGTCAAACGACAACGGTGACAAACAGAACAGGTCTCGTGTGATCTCATTATTTTCTGTTTATGGTCAGAGATCTGCCGGCGCTCCTCTGGTTTGAGCTGAATTTAGACTGTGATTGGACCCTGTATTTAGGTGATATGTGATCTGGTGGAGCATGCAGCTCTGGAAAAAACCAAGAGACCACTTAAAATGATTGGTTCCTCTGATTTTACTCTTTGTAGGTAGATGTTTGAGTAAAATGAAGATTGTTATTTTATTCTTTGAACTACTGACAACATGTCTCTGAAATTCCAAGCAAAACTTTTGTATTCATTTGCAGAAAATGAGAAATGGTGAAAATAACGAAAAAGATGCAGAGCTTTCAGATTATGCAAAGTAAACAAGTTTATGTTCATTTAGAAACAACAATGCTAATGTTTTAACTCAGGAAGAGTTCAGAAACCAGTATTTGGTGGATTAACCAATGGGGTTCAATGCAGTGGTTCTTCATTTATTTTTTTTTGGTAAAATTATAATTAAAGGGGAGTGCATAAGACTGATTTGACACTTTTATAAACATAACATCTGTCATGAACATGAAGGAGTCCTCATGAACGCTTACTGTTGTCATGAAGTGTTGTTCGATTAATAATGACACTTTTAATGGACATTTAATGCTAATCTTAATAGTACTTTGCATTAAAAGGGTCATTATTGACCAAATAAAGCAAAGTTGACACTTTAAATGCAACTTTTAGTTAAACTTTGCATTGAAAGTGTCATTATTCACCGAATGACACTTCATGACAACTGTAAACATTCACAAAGACTCCTTCATGTTCATGAACGTTGTTATGTCATGTTTATGACCATGTCATGTCAGTTTTATGCACACCCCTTCGAATAAAGTGTCACCATTTTTTCCAGAGTTGTATATAAATGGGAATAAACAGGCATATATATATATATATATATATATATATATATATATATAAATGTGTGTGTGTGTGTGTGTGTTTTTTCCAAACAATTCAAAAAGTTGTCCATATGAAAAGAGACAACACACTGGTGCTGACTGATCCTTCATTAGAATCTAACTAGTGATTCCTAATTCACCAAAGTCATTCCATTTATGTAAGCTGCACTCAGAAAATAATAAGAAGTACTTATCAAATGTCCTGTACTTATTCGGTTTTATTATGAAACTTTTAGCCAACTAATCCTCTGACGCAACCGCAAGTTTGGTTTCTTGCCTTAACTTAAAACGTGCGGTTGATTTAGTCGGTGCGTAATATTCTGTACATCTGCACGCTTCGGTGGTGTAATGTAAACCCAGTCTACCATCAGTGTGTGTGTCTAGTGGGCCGCGGTGGTCTCTCAACCTTGCAGCGTGTCTTTGCTGCATTGCTTATGAAATGTTCCATTTGCTAATCCCTGGAAAAAGAGGCCTTCTGCACAGCAGCAATTTAGCAGCAGTTAACCAATAAAAGTCGGTATGTTTGCTCTGTCCCAGACTATAATCTGCCTAATGCAGGTTATCCATCCTGAAAGAATGGAGTCAGATTCGTGCAAAGCCTTCCATACGTGCACAGGGAGAGGGAGAGACAGCGGAGGTGTGCAGACGGGGACAAAGAAAGTGCGTTGTAAGAACTGCGGACTGTAAAGCCCGTGCAACGAAGTCCCCACGCAAAAAGCAACATGCACATGTGCAGATCAGCTCCGCAGGCCTTTCCGAGCGTCATGTGAGACTCACTTGGTAGGATCAGCTCCTTTGAAGTAAGCATTAACTGTTTCCGTGAAGGCAACGGCGATGGGCAAGGCATCTTGGGATCCCAGGGTCACAGGGCTCGGACCGCGAGACGTCCCTGAGAAAAGAGAGAGAGAGAGAGGCTCGGGGTTATGGGTCTGCTTCCTCGAACGTTTACGTCAGATCATCCGTACTCGCACAAATGAGTAGTGTTATTAAAGGAACTGGCGTAGATATTGTAAAAGAAGCTGCTTTTGATTAACTCAAACATTCGGCGTAATCACTGCACACCAAAATGCAAACAAAAAATTTAATAGAATAAACCGTTTTAATGACATAAAACCTTAGATGTTAGATAAAGAGAGCAGCAGAGACACAGCTGCAACTTCTGCAAAGCGACGTATATTTTTAGCTGCTGGTTGATTTCCCTTTGAAAGGCAGATTGGTGTTAGTTCCTTTCAGGTAAACACACACACACACAAAAAGACCGTTCTCCAACCAGAACTTCATCCGTACCTGCTGGTGCTTCACACCGCTTCTCAAAGGCGGGCAGCTTGGCTACAAACCCATCGTCCTCTTTACGCCACATTAAAAGGCACAAAGAGGAAGAGAGGAAACACACAAACGCACAGAGAGAGAGCGCAGCGTGAGGAGACGTGACACTGAGAGAACACTTTCTAAAAATGTGACGATGGGAGGCAACGAGCCCCTAACGAACACGTCTGATATGATAGAGATGAGCAGCAAAGATAACACACACAGTACTGTAACTAAAAGTCTTGAATGAACACTCGTCCAATGCTTTCTTTGAGTGGTTTTAAGCCAATCTCCAGGTTTTCTAGCTGCATTTCCATTGGCTATCGAATTGCGCAAATTAGAATTGTGAAAGTAAGTTTGCTTACTAGAAAGGCGGCAGTTTCAAAAGTGTTGATAAAAAGTTTTGCGCTACAATTAGGTGTTTTTTTTTAGCTGCATCAAATTAACATAATCAACAAAATCAGGCAAAATAAACACTTTTTTCACATCACACGTTTGGCAATGAACAACCGGATGTTACCACTGGTGGAAAAAACAAAGAACACGACAGGAAGTGGCAGGGGGGGTAATGGCGCAGCATGTTTTTTAATGACTTATCGAGTGAATAAACTTGATTTTAATTGCACATTTTATTTAATGGAAAGACAGCGACTGGAAAATTGTGTTTTTCCAACATTAGTGGAATATCGGAAAAGTTTAATTTGCGCACATTTGTAGTGGAAACGCAGCTGTTGACAGTTTTTGCTTGCAGTTCAAACTACGTACTAGATGGTTTTTACAGGATTTTTTTTGTTTGTGTGTTGGGTCACCTATTAAACACTGACAGGTGTGAGAAAACACAGCACAAAAGCTGTACCTAAAAGCAATATTTCATAAGCAAAACCCAATTTGCTCTCTTACGTTTGGCTGCATAGCCAAAAAATGGAAATGTGCTGCAGTCTGACAACAATCTGTTCATCTGCAACCAATAAGGTCCTTCTAACGAAGCTACTAGTGGAATGAGTGGAACAATAATAATGTATTTCAGAGATATTTGATATGTTACTTTAATTCTTTGTTTATGAATGACGCAACTTTCTAATAGTTGTAAAACAGATAAATCAATTTGATCGATTAATACAATTTTCTGATTTTGAAGATTTAATAATAATAAAAAAAGGCCACCATCTTTTTTGATAATGGCGTTTCAGAGCTTCTACTCATTCAGACTTTAAATTTAGGTTGAACTTACAGACAAGTTGACTGAAATAAAAAAGTTTTTCAAAATATTTTCTGAAATTCATCACTTACTTTTTGAAAAACAAGAAAGAGATGGGGCAAAAATAGATTCAAATCTGAAATGGGATTTGATATGAAAAAAAAAAAAAACCGATTCTATTTTTAAACCACATTCATTCACGTACATTTCTGTAAGACATTAATGTTTCTAATGCAATTATTAGATAATTGCTGTTGATAATATCGCAGGTTTTGACCAATCAGATAGCAGAGAATTATTTTGGAACTTTTTGACAAGAAAGCACAGATTTATTAAAGCTTCGGCCATGTTTAGAAAATCCTTCTTATTTATGTTTGTGATGGTTGTACAGGGAAGTCCTTTTCCTCACATGTCTAATGGTTGCTAAGGAGACTTTGTGACAACAAAACATCATTTTTCACCACAGCGAGTTGTGACGTACAAATTGTGCTACCAGTGATTTTAAAAGGGGATTTCCCACTGACTTCATGTACTAGATGTACTAGTCCTTTAGAAAACCCAAAAGTAATTTCTCCTCAGGTCCGTTTATGAGAAGCAGCATGCAAAGAGACGAGGGTCGGCTCAAGACTTTTGCACATTTGCATAAGACGCCATCATTGAAATGTACCCAGAGAACAAACACTGTCAGTGAAAACACAGAGGAGTGGGGAGGGGAAAAAAAATGCATCTTTTGCGGGGATCGTGTTCGAAAAGCCAGACTCACTTTGGTTTAGAAGCACATGAGGAGAAAAGTTGCTGAGGTCAGACCCTGAGCAGGAGAGGGGAGGAGCAAAAGTGTGTTCAGATCCTGCAAGAAGAGGAGCGGAGGAGAGAAAAAAAAAACAAGGGAGGAAAGCAGTACGGAGAACAGCAAGCTACGGAGCAGAACCTTTCTACCAGGTCGGGGAAGGGGTGAGGGAGAGGAGGGAGAAATAAACACAGAAGAGGGAGATTTTCTAAAAAGTGAACAGTACGAGGAAACGATCCTACCGACGGTGGGAGTGTTCCCGGCACTGAGCGAGGCGTTCGAGGACAGCGAGGAAGAACTCTCGGCCCGGGCGAGCGGTGCTGTCGGAGGGGGGCTGGCGTTGGATGCTTTGGGTGGGCTGAAAGGCCGGACCTAAAGGAATTTTAAAAAAAGATTGAAATTTTAAAGGAAATAAAAGAAAAGACATGTTGCTGAACATCTGACGGCCAACTGCATGTAAATACTTGAAGTGAAGACAACTTCCAGATCATAAAAAAGGTATTAAATTCTCCCTCGACATTTTAGGGAGAGTTAATTGCATTTTTAGTATCAACACTCAAGAAATAAAACAACCGAATATGAAAAAAGTAGCTTTTTGAGTACCGTGTTAGTTGTACACTTAAACTAAAAGGAAGTTGTTAAAAAATGTTAAGATAAAAGCATAAAAAGGGTTTTATTTCTTTGTCACACCTTCCAAAGTGCAGCAGAGAGAAGTGAATCAGAAGCTTGGATCAGATTGAGGTTTAAAGGGCTTCATCATTTACGAGCGAACCCACAATAAAACACTCGGAACAAGAAGAACTTAAAGATTTACGATCAGAAGAGAAAAAATGGAAAACTCAACAGGTTTTAGTAAAGAGGAAGTTGAGTAATGATGTTCAGAACAACAGGGGAGCAGAACCTTCGACTGTAAAGCACGGGGGAGGAGGTATCATACATTCAGCCCAAAGCATAGAGAAGAGAAGGTGCTGTAAATCTCAAAAAGCTTTAAAAAAAAATACAAACTAAAGTTTTTTTATTCCGTTGTCCTTACGGTCCCTGATGGACTTAGCGAAAATCTGTTGACAGACAGGATTACCTGGAAGGCAGCCTGGGGATCTCAATAAGCCTTTTCAGCTAGGATTTGACAAATATACCCAAAACAAAAACTGAGCAGAAAACAGGCAGCGACGCTTGCCAAAACGGGCATTAGCCAGTTGGCTCAAACTTGAAAACGTGTCGTTTGTAAAGACACGCCATTGAAGAATCTGGGAAATCTTTTGCCCTATTGGCCATGCCACAAGAGGAGGAGCATGGAAAACTCACGTGGAAATATATAAGCAGTGGAAGGATTACGCACAATTTCATTGATTCCCGTGAGTTTTCCGGTGGGGAGTTTGGGTCTGGAGGAAGGACGCGGTGGTGGGACGAGGGCTCCAGCCGCCAGAGGAGTCGTAGGTCGGTTTGGTACTGGCACTAGACAAAAAAAACACACTTTTAGAGAGGGATAGAGAGTTAAGAACGTATGGCTAGGTACAAACGTGCGTGTGTGTGTGTTCGGTTGAGTCTCATGCATCACGTCTTGTTCCAACGACACAATATTTAGTAATAAAATAAAATGGAGAAAACACATTCCGAAATCAGTTTTACCACAAAAAAACAAACAAACAAAAAAACAAAACAAAAAAAATAAAAAATCTTGCATCTCAGGCAGACGGAACAGAAAAGCATCAGCAAAAACAATCAAAGCAACAAAAAATAAAAGGAAAACCAAAGACGTTACTGTCAATTCTCAGGCAAAATCAACTCCAAACCCTCAGGCACACGGCGTGTCTTTACAGCAACGTTACTGTTACCATGAAACATTTTGCCTGCTGTGGCTGCTGCTACTGTCCTATCAGAGAAGACGTCAGGACTGCTGTCCTCTCTGACCGCCGCAGCTGCTGCTTTGCAGAAAGCATCTGCAGACTCATCCGACAGGAAGCGGCTCGCCCTGCCGAAGCCGCCAGCCGGAGCCTTCTGGACCTCCGCTACGGAAGAGCCCAAGCCGTGACGGCACGGCGGAGCGGACCTATCCCCGAAAGCAATCCACTGACTCTGGGACCAGGACACAGAGGAGAAGCCGTCAACGGACTTCGGGGTCTCTGGGGGGCTGGCGGCGGTCGGGCTTTTGACGGGGTCTATTGGCTCGGTGGGCTGGGTGATGGGGGCGCTCTGGGCCCTCACCGGCGCAGGCCTCAGCCCTTGGGAAGTGTTTTCGGGGGAATCCCAGGGAGAGGTGGTGGATGAGGAGAAAGAGGAGACATCTTTGGACTGCTGGCGCTCTGCCACTGGGGTAAAGCGGCTCACAGTGTCGACTGAAGGAAGATATGTGATCGACAGAGGCATTAAAGGTAAAAAAAAAAAAAGAAAGCAAAGTAGATAAAATGAATATATTTGACAGACTTTACACCTGTCAAATAGTGCATTTTAAAAGCATCACAACACAGTTACTCTGTTAAAATCCTGAATTTGGAGTTTCAGTGTTACGTGAAACGTAAAGAGTTTGTTATCCATTAATTAGAGGTTTAGGTTAAAAAGTTAATATTAGATGTTACAATGTCAATAAGGTGGATCATAAAGGGGAAAATGTCAAAATCAGTTTTGTGTCTATATTGTGCTCCATCACTATTTTCTGTGAACATAAAATGATACTTTTAATGTTAAGTTTAAATGGGTCGCAGGCCCATTTAATTTTTTCTTCTACAGACTTGAGAATCATCTAAGGAAAGTTAAACAAGAAAAAAGTCAGATTGCCCCACAAGTGGTCACGTACTTATAAGCTGAATTACTCAGACAGCAGGTATAAGTGATAAGTGAATTGAAGCCATTCCAAGCATTCGGCATCCTGAAGTGAGTGAGTCTTAATCAGCGCAGACAAACTGTATGCTATGTTTACCCGAACACCGATTAGGATATTTCCAGCTCATTGCTGTAACATTTGAGTAACACATTCATTAGTTCCAAAGCAGTGGCTCAAATGGGCCATACACTCCTTACTAATAATTTATTTTGGACATATGTAAAAAAAAAAAAACATGGCTTCCAGGACAATTTGAGATCGAAATGTGTATACTACCGTTTCAAATGCAAAGGACGGTGATGTGGTTCTTAAGCAGACTTGCACTCACCCCTCAATTACCTGTTTCGATGCACTAACAGATATTCTTACATGACAGAAAGTCTACTGTGTGGAGAGTCAGGGCATGGACATTAAAAGACGAAAAGACAGCTTCATATTACTATTATCACGGTAATGTTTTTTTTTTGTTTTTTTTTTTAAGTATACTTAGGAAGCTAGAAGGCAAGACTGGCAAGTGTGTTAAAACACAAATTGCTAGCTTGTCAAGCGAACCCATGAAATGCAGACTGCTAGCTTGCTAACCAAACCTACAAAACGCAGACTGCTAGCTTGCTAACTGAACCCTGAGCTTACCTATCATCAACATTACATGCTGCCAGTGTTTCTAAAGGAAAAAAGTCAAGATAACGTAACTTTACTTCACAAATTCTAATAAATTCAGAGGGATTTTATTGACTGTTATAACCTACCCTATTATTTTCAGTTCCAGTATATGTATGTTTTATTTTTCAAAGGCTCAATGCAATCTCTCTGAACCTGGAGCCACAGGCTTAAGGAAAGACTGTCCAACAGTAAAACAAACATGTTATTTTGTTATTAATAATGTGATAAGGGCAGAATATCATTTTGTCAATGATTTGAAGAAAAGAGCACCTCTGTATTAGAAAAGGGAACCAAAGAAAACCAAACTTTAAGAAAAAACATAAACATGGAAGTGGTTTGTTGATGAATGGCTCACGTTCAGGTTAATAATCCTCCTCAAGTCAGAGAGGCACACACATTTTACCTGCTGCCTCTGGCAGAAAGACCTCAGAGTCATTCATCAGAAAAGATGGAGATGAAGGGATTGGAAAGAAGACAGAAGCGAGGTCTGACGAGAACAGGTGAGAGGGACATGAAAACAAACCTTACATGACGTCAACTCAAAAAAAAAGAAGAAATAATTAAGAAAAAAAATCAATGTACAATATAATCCTATATTGCAACATTAATGTACAAATACACTTAAATTAAAAGAAAAAAAATAATTCAGTCATCTTATACTTGAGGAGCCCATGTGTGTCCTACGATATTAACAAAGCTCTCTGTAGACGGAGACACTACTTCTGATCAGGAATCCGAATTGAAGCACTTTTTGATGCTCTTTTGACTTTAAAGCCGAGACCTTTGACAGTAATGAGACTTTGTTTGACAACATATGTGCCTGTGGGCTTCATAGCCCACCCTCTGACCTCAACGAGGTGCCAATTAACCGTGGATTATGCTTAACCTGGGTAACGGGTCACTGCTAATGTCACGCTGTTTAAACGCCGGTGTCGGGCATGTAAAGTATGAGAAACATGCTCAGCAACTTAGAAAATCCATACGAAGAGTAGATGTTTATTATTAGAAGACACAGGAAAAGTAAAGTAGAGCTCTGCTATGCAAACTGCAGATGGTTGGAGTGTAAAAATGAAAGAAAATGGAAAATGTTATATTTTCTTTTCTTCAGACTTTCTGAGTGATACAGAGTGTGATAGTCGATTAAAGATCATCTTCTGCTGGAAAATAAAACTCTCGAGGCACAGGATGTTTTGAATAGTTTTTTTTGTTTTTTTTTACGCGGCTAACCTGCTGTGGACGACACAGAGGAGGAGGACCCGACTCCTGAAGCAGAGCTCAGCGGATCCAGAGACAGAAGGTCGTTGTTCCTCAGCCTGCCAGAGCCGAGACAAACAGAAACATGACCAAATCACGTCAATGTACGAAGAACTCAACGCTTAGTGAGTCAGAAAGCACCGTGCAAACAATGTCACTCTGGTTCTAAACACAAAATAAAAAGAAATCCCTCATGTTCCGACTCACTCGAATGGCGTTGACCCTCTGGGTTTCGCCAGTTCGTCATCTGCGTGAGGAGACAAGCACAAGCAGAAGTTTTTTTATTTGCATGTGCGGACAGGAAGTTAATAACTCTTTATAATTTTATGATTTTTAAAGAAAAAGAAAAGAGAACAATTTCCAATTTGTCTCACCTGCCACCTGAAACATAAACACGAGAGAAAGCCACCACCTACGGCTGAGAGTTAGAGAAACGCTGTACGGGTCAAAGGTCGGAACGCAACCAGTTTCGAAACATCCAGGTGTTTCCAGACCTCCGACTGGTACCGTTTGAAACAAACGACTTCTGCCTCACAAATTAAAACCCTGTAGCATCAAAGTACCGCAAAAGTGTTAATCTGCCGAGTTCTACTGAGGTTTTAATACAGAGGAAGCAGCTTTGAAATGCGGGTTTCGGTTGAATTTGGCAAGTGGAAATCAATGCAAAAAAAGTGGCGTTTGGTTAATCGGAACCGCTTTTCCAGAACGCTGCAACTTCTCTCAAAGATCCGTTTAGTAACCTGAACATCAGGAGTCTGCACACGCTCGCCATTTTTAACGTTTGAATCGTTTTTGTTTTTCAGGATGGAACGATGACACGACCGGTAAAGGTTGAGTTTGCTGACGGCCGCACATGAGGCATGTGGAATCTATGCAAATGTAAAAAGAGATTAAAAACTGTTAAAAGCTGTTTGTTGTGTAATCGTTCCACCCTGGAAATTATTATTATTATTATTATTATTATTATTGTATGACGAGTGGATGCATACTTCTGACTGGAACCGTACCCCTAAACGCCAGAGGTAGAAGAGAACCCAAAATTAAAGCCATTCAGGTGAGTAAACTTGTCAAAATAGGACACTAAAAGTTTGCAGTGAGGGATAAAAAAACCATAAATATCAGTGATGTTAGCGTCTATAAGGGGGGGTTGGCTGGCTGCAGAAGCAGTGTGAAAGGCTCCCTTTAGGAGACAGAGATGAGGTTTGATATTTAGGGTGGAGCAGGGAGGGGAGGTGGAGGCGCTGGCCAGTGACTGTAGTTAAAACATACTCACCCTTAGCCTTAGATCTTAAGGTAGATACTCCAGTAAACCCTGAGCGTATGCAGAGTATACATCTTTGAATGCAACCGCCTTGTGCAAATTCACCAATTTTAACCTTTTTGTTTTATTTTTGCCACATTTTTGAAATTGGAGAAAAATAATAGAAATATAACTTGAGTCTAGAAGCTAAACACACACACAAAAACAGTTTTAATAGCTGTAAACCTTATTTAAACACATTAAACACAAAAACTATCAATCACTTTTATTGTTAAATATATAGACATGATCCATATGTTTACCAAAGTCAATAATCCAACATGTTCTAATATTTATTTTTTTTGCCTGGTTGGCATTCGGGTCAAGCTTTGAACTCATCACACAGAGCTTTGCAGTGCAGATGTCAAGGATTTAACGGGTCAAACTAAACAAGTCTGTTACCTTGTCCTGTGGTGCCATTCCACAGACACGACACCTGTTTTTTTTTTGTTTTGTTTTTGTATTCTTCTCATATTCTAAATATTTAGGTGCATCTGACGTTACTAATCCTTTTTAATCGTGCGCACACACGGCCTGCGCGTCACTCACGGCAACACGGTCTGGAAAGATTTAGTCGAAACCTGCTGCTCCAAAAGTCCCTCGTCTAGATTAAACAAGGCCCGTCGCAGAACCTCTGGAGATTAGTCATGAGAAACGGGAAACGTTTGAGAGTTCGCATCTGAGCGAAAACAGAAAAAAAAAACTACATATATATTTAAATAAAACAATAACTCGAGGTAGTTTGCAATCAGATTGTTCTTCTGCTGCACGGTTCTGTGGTGCAGATGTTTCTTACGCTTTTATTCCCACTTTTTTTTTTAAAACTGACCAGAAGGTAAAATACCGAAGGCGAAAGATAATTTCTGACTTGTCAAAACATCCAGCTGATTAAACAGTTAGTCTTATTTGTACCGGTGAGGGGAGAGACATCCCTTTTGCATGACATTTATATATATATAAAAAAAAAAAAAAAAAAAAAGGGTGGTTATTTACTTTTTCTTGGAATATGTTGGTGTTGGCTTGATATCTGGAGGTTCTTATTATTCATTTTTGTTCTACAGAAAACTTCTTAACAACCGGAGCCAATGAAAACGCAGCCAGAGCCGTTCCTCTCAGTCCAGAAACACAAAGACATAAAAAGGTTAGAGGGAAAGAAAAACTACTTACTGGACTGGTTCCTGCGCATTTGTCCCTGGAAAAAAACACAATAAAAAAGTAAACATTTATATATATACATTTATATAAGTACAAAACAGGAAGAGTGGCTTGCAAAATGTATTCATACCACTTGGATTTAAATGTGAGTCTTTTTTTTTTGGGGGGGGGGGGGGGTTTCGACCATTTTACACATCCATAGAGGCTGAAATGTTTCCCCAATTTTCTTAAAGAAACTCCTCAAGCTCACTCAGAATGGATTAACACCTGTCTGTGCTCACTGTTTACGTCTGGACTTTAACTGGGACGTTCTGACACCAGGACCTCAACCAGTCCGCTGTAGCTGCGTTTGAATGTTTGTGGTCGTCTTCCCATCGCAGTCTGAAGTCTGTAATGAAGTTCACCTGAGTTTACCTCCAGTCGTCCCAAAAAACTGGACAACTGCGTTGCTGTAGCCCCAAAAATATCTTCGTAAAATACACAAGAAGCTTTTGTGGCTATAACAAGACAAAATGTGCCAAAGTTCACGGGGTATGAATACTTTTCCAAACCAGTATGAAACTTAAAATAGACGCATGAGGGAGAAGTGATAGTCTTCAAATTAAGCAAAATTGCCGTCCAATGTTTGCGCAGCACCAATTTTCCGTTGTGCCACCATCGTTTTAAAGACAGTACTGAATGTTTCCAGAGGTCACCAGAGGTCAAATTGCCCTCCCACACACACACATTAAAAAAGATCAAACAAAACTGATGGGAAATTATTTATTTGTAGCTCGGCTACTTGACACCAAATTAGCTTGATTTTGTAGACAGTGGGTTGGCTGGTTGACCTCTGATGACCTCTGGAAACATTTACTAAAATCTCTAAAATGATAGTGGCCAATTTTATTTAATTTGAAGAAGAACAGCCAACACTCAAGTATACATTAATGGTTGTAGATCGTCTCTCGGGAAACCACTTGTTGATCCTAAAACATCTTTTTATCAAACATCCTTAAAGTATTTATGAAGTCTCAACATGCTATATCAGGGTAAAGCTGCGTGTAGAATACGTCTGAGGTCGTGAAAATGATGCCGTGAATTGTCCCCCAGCGGCAGCGGGAAGTTTCCACTTGAGCGTTAAAGACGGTAAATCACGGGACCGCTCCGGACTCTCACATACCAGACACTAAACCTAGGGTGAAGAATTCGGCAGCTGAAAACAGTGTATTTAAGCCGAGACAACGATCAGTCGGGGACAACGGAGAGCGTGGCCCCGACACTTCACCAACTTCCTTCCCAGAGCCTTTTTTTTTGTTTTTCCTCCCTCGGATATAAATCTGCCACGTCCTGCTGCGAAACACAAGATACGCAAGGTACGATCGCGAAGGGGGAGGGGGTCTGACCGAACTGAGAGCAACTTCACTTTCAATAAAAAAGCCATTTCTTAGAAGAAGAAAGGTTAGAGGAGCTTTCAGGGGGCAGAGGGGAGAAAAAGAAACAAAATGGGTTTAAGGAACACAGCAAAACGTTTAACCACCGTCGAGCTGCGAGGCCGGGGCTTAGTCCCACAGGCGCTAAGCGGCAAATGGGTTCAATTACAGCTCTTGCTGGCCACACACACACACACACACACACACACACACACACACACACACACACACACACACACACATTTACGCTCGCTCACTCACACGACTTCCATTCCTGTTTCAATAAAGGGAACGGCACGGAGGGAGAAGCAAACGGGAGAAGAAATGAAAAAGACAGAAAAATGAGCAGCGAGAGGAAAAGAAAAAAACAAAACAAAAGAAAACTAAAAAAAATATATAAAAATTGAGAACAGCGCTCAATAATTCACTCCAGATGAAGCTACGGTGCGCCACCTTGGATGAAAGTTTGAACTTTAATTCAAAATGTCTCAGTGGTTCCGAAACAGGAAGAGCGAGAGAAATAAATGGGAACGGGAAGAAAGGATGGCAAGTGTGATGCGGCGCTCCAAAGAATTGTTTTTTTTTTGTTTTTTTTTAACAAATGACCTAAAGTAATGTTGATTTAAAATAAATTAAATTAGAAGGGTTAAAAATATATATACGTTTCTCTACACAGAAACTTACTTTTCACATCAATTTCTCCTGTAAAGGGAAAATATTTGTGGAAACTACACACCCCCTGGATGTGTGTGTATGAATCATTCTGCCTTGATTTTTATGAACTCACCTGCTCAGGGACTACAGATGGAAACTAGCTTAAGCTAAATGTTTTTTCAGGCATGTCGTCCCAGATTTAAATAAACAAAGTATCTGCACTGATCGATGACGTGCCTCTCAGATACTAAAAACAACTCGTTTTCATTTTACTAATCATTAAAAAAAAAATAATAATCCCACCGTTTTCGGCATGTGAACACAGGAGCTTTTTTTTTTTAATAACTTGTGATATGATTAGAAACGTATGCGCACATTAATTTTACTCTGTCGGGTTCAAAACTGACTCTCTGTGGAACAACCTGCAGCACATTTCTGTGACCTTGAAGCAAAAAATACAAATAAAAGGAAAGAAAGAAAAGACGAAAGAAAATTGGAACAATTTTCTCCTGATTTACTCTCTGGATCAAATATTGGTTTATAAATGCTTCAACTTCCAGCATCTGTTGAAACATCATTTTGACCATTTACTATTTTCATTACTTTCCTTTTTTGTTTTTTTGTTTTTACTTTGCACTTTCATTACTATAGTGGTCGTTCTACCAGAAGAATTATTTCACGCTCATTAAATTCTGGAAAACTCAGAATTCCCACCACTTTTGGTCTTTAAACGCATCAAGTGACTCTGATCCACTTTAAGTTTAATAAAAATTTAATGAATGTTTGGAGCACAGACTTTGATGCACAGTTTCCTAGATTTTTTTTTTTAACTGCCAAATAACATGCAGTATTTATTTATTTTTTTGTGTGTAAAAGTTACAACCCTTTGAGAAAAAAAAAAAAAAATCATAAGCTCAAGCCTCCAAAAAAAAAAAAAAAAAAAAATTTGGGGGGGCCCGGCATCTTCTGGAAAAAAAAAATAACC